ACACCATCACAACATGACCGGGACACAATCACATGACCGGGACACCAGCATCACATGACCCGGACGACATCAAAACATGACCGGGACACCATCCGCCCACCAGCTCTGACGGTGACCCGACGGCGCCCGTCCGCCTATTAGTTTTGCAAGACCCCATAGCATGGCTATTGGGGAACAATCGAATAAACAACGAACATACAGTTGCAGGGCGGCGTATCAGACGCGTCCCTCGTGTGTTGCTTGTCGCTAAGGCAGTGCATGGTCTTCGTAGCAATGGAACACGGGTGGTCGCGGAGTTGTTTTATCCTTCCCCAGGAGTTTCATACTATGGATCGATTGGGGTCACTGGAGTGCCGCCTGCGCAGCCTGAGGACGCCCTGATGCTTTTGCGACGGCACTTTCATGCTTACTTGGACGAAGTCCGTGTGTCAACTGTGAAGCCCTTTTTACACTATGCAACCTGGTATGACTTGAGGCGACACCCATGCATCGATTCTACACCCCTGGGACTGACACACTGCTCAGCAGCAAAAACCCTGAATGAGCAGCAGGTATATCAGCGAATCGAAGAGATTTGCAGCCAACTTTTTGATAGAGGCATAGAATTGATGGGCGCTTTGCTTGACGATGGATGGGACGATGCAGGCATGCCTTGGCAGGTGGACCGCGCAAACTTTCCATCAGGATTTGCTGGTGTGTCTGAAGCAGCCAAAAAGAAAGGTGTGTCTTTGGGTGTTTGGATGTCACCAGTCGGAGGTTTCGGGGAAGGTGGTCACAGGAGGGTGAAGACGGGGGCTGCCATGGGATTCGAGTTTCATGGTGAACCGACTTCACCTGGCACAGCAAGCACCCTGCGCCTCTCCGGGCCTCAATACTCCGATTGGTTCTTCAACGCGTCTTTGAACTTGCTGAACAGCGGCGTCAGCTTTTTTAAGTTTGACGGTCTTGGCACAAAGTCAACTGGAGCAGATTTTGCTGAGGATGTTGACAGGCTGATTCTTTTGGTCAATGAACTGAGAAGATCTCGCTCAATTAAGGTTTCAGCATTCACTGGTGTTTGGCCATCTCCATGGTGGCTTTGCAGTGTGGACTTCCTTTGGCGAGGTGGACCTGATTTGGGAAGGAAAGGC